CAATTTCAAAAATGAGTAAAAATCAGAACTAACAAATATTAAAAGAATCATGTGCTATTTCTAATTTTACAAAGAAGATTCTCATGTATCTCTCTATTATAGGCTATTCTCATTTTTGCTTCATACTCTTAACATAATTTCTCTCATATCTTTAGATCGATATTCAATGGATGGTCTTAAATTGCGATCCTACGAGGCCAGAGAGAGAGACCTGTGAGGAACTACCGGTAAATCTACACACACACATACACACACATATATATATATTTTACATAACTTCACAGTCCATTAAGATTCTGTGGTTGTAATTGACGTTAATTGCAGAAAAGCCTTAGCAGTCCTTTATTACCTCAGAGAAGACCTGGTTGCGAAATTATCTGTCCACAAGGACCTCCGGGAATTAATGGTACTAATGTGAGTTAAAGTTCTTCTTTCCCATCTGATTGATCGATGCATCAAGTATAGTATCAAATAGACAAGTGCCTATATGTTCAGTTCTCCTTTCATAAAGCTAACTCTTCAATATTAAAAGCTGAATGCTTTTTTAAATAGTTATCGAGTACTACCCATAGAATTGAATGTCAATAGCATTCAAAACCTTTTTGAACTGCTATATTTATGCAACGTAAATGCAAAAGAAAATGAAAGTCTATACAATAGTCACAAAGCAGGCTATAGAGAAGAAACGTAGTAAGTCAGATCTATTTTTTTTTTATAAGAAAGCAACTTTAAAATTCAATATGTAGAATATTACACAATATTTTCTACGCTTTATGCGTAAAATGAAAGTCTATACAATAATCACAAAGCAGGCTATAGAGAAGAAACGTAGTAAGTCAGATCTATTTTTTTTTTATAAGAAAGCAACTTTAAAATTCAATATGTAGAATATTACACAATATTTTCTACGCTTTATACTTTATATATCTACGCAGCGCGACCGTGTAGCTTGCTCGATTCGCTCTGTACTCTGGATAGAAACCAATTGCCCCCGCTTACGCTTCCGACTATCTTCTATAGTCCACAGGTGGTGTTTCTTGTTCCTTCTGGCAGGTCGTAGAAGGTCGAGGGGTTCTGTTTATATATTTTATGATTGATCTTCAACATGGGTTCCATAGTACTGTCGACTTTCTTTACAAGTACATAAACTATCTTTCATTTGATTTAGGAATTAAATATGTATCGTTATTATCGATTCTATTATATTTTAGAAATATTGCAAGAATATAAGAAAGTCGGTAGTACATAAAATTCACATTGAAGGAAAGACATAAAACAGATCTAAAGGATCCTCGAACCTTCTGGGAACTGCGTGATCCCCTAAGGGATAAGGACTATACCTGAGGACTATAAATGACACTCAGAAGTAAAAACGTAAGGCAATTGAGTTCAATGCGATTGAACGGACAAACGGCAGCACTTTTGTATAATTGTATTCTTTACAATTGACTATCATTGCTTGTTCTGTTAATTTTGAAATATAATGACTTTTTATGTATAGCATAAAATAATCTTCTTCGACTAATATGAAGACAAAGACATGACAAGTAAAGTCGGCAAGTAGACAAATTTTTGGCAGAGAATAGCTATTTTCCAGAGCCAGTCGGCCATTTGCGTTTGTAAGAGGCATGTGTTTAGTTTCATTTTTTTCAAAACTAGTTTTCTCTCAATGGCTCAACAGCTACATCTGTCACTACATCTCAAGTACGGTACGCCTCTTAACAGATTTTTGGTGAAACAGACGTTACTCCTGCATTGTTCCTTTTTCCTAGAAGAAACGCGTTAAAGGCGTAAACAGGAAAAAGAACAGAAAAACACATTTTTTTCTGTGCGGAAGGGACTTGGGTCGACTAAGATAACAATGGTCTGGAGGACCACTTATTGCGAGAGAACAGAGCAATCAGAGAAGAAAATCAGTCAGTTTTAAAGAAACAGTCGCGTAGCTTCACACAGACACACACATACTCATCAATAAACCAATATACTACATATATAGTTTCGAAGTTTTTAGTTTTTCTGGGTCCAAGCCATACTTGAGTGATTTTTTGAATTGCCATATTGTGCAATAGCCAGGCGTCCCCTACATTTATTTATTTTTCATTGTATAACTTAACATTCAATGTTTTTCAATGGTTTCATGCAAGACACAAGATTATTTCGTCTATAATAGTTGGATATACAAAATTCGGTGACTGAAGTAACGCTTTTTTACAGTTTATTGAGACAAAGAGTAAAAGTGACGTGTCTTCGTGAATCTGTATCCTGACTAATCAATTAACACAGAATTATTGTAATTTACAAAGAACAGGTAGTGATTCGACCGATAATGAGCGGCAACTTCAGGCAATAAACAGAATTTTAAAACAAATCTGCTTGTAAAAATTTGTATATAGTTTGTTCTAACTATCAAGTGTTATAAAATCAAGAAATCAATAAAAATAGAATTATATATTTCTCACTTGGAAGAACTGTAATTCTTCTTTTATAATCTAGAATGGAAATATTTTCGTGCGAATAAAATCCGTTTCACTAACATGACCCATTTATTTAGGGTTTACCTGGCTTAGCTGGTTTACCTGGACCACCTGGACCAATCGGAGAACCCGGTTTACCTGGCAGGCCGGGTTTACGCGGACCACCTGGAGAACAAGGCAAATCAGTGCGTTTCTATAACAATATAATATACAAGAGAATTTATTTTTTTGGTCATCTTATTATATGTTTACGGCGGTACGTACTAGGGGCCACAAGGATTTACCGGTGCACGGGGATTTCCTGGAAATTCTGGTCCCAAAGGACCAATTGGTCTGCCTGGAATAAAAGGAGAAAACGGTGAAAGAGTAGGTTGTTTTTTATTTATTTTATTACAAATCGTTTTGAAAGATTACTGCTATCGGAGTGACTATATTATAGTGACTTACAAAAGTATTTGAATTCACAAAAGTTTTAGAAAAATACGGCTATTATATCAATGCAATAAAACGAATTTGAAAATCTATATAGAAATTAATAGAAGTTCAGATACTTGTTGTAAACAGGTTACAAAATACATGAACAATTAATTACCTACTATAACAATAGAATTATTTTTTCTACTAATTATGTATTTAAAATCATTCATACTATCAGATTAAAATAGCAATATAATCGCAATGGTCATATTCTATTATAATGTTGTTAAAATTTCAAAATATTTCGTACAACACTCATATTCATGAGTCACTGTATTGTGATAATTACACTTAATTTGTATAACACTAATTTTCATTGTATTAACATTTAGTTTGATTTTTATAGGGAGACATGGGATTTCCGGGATTGAAAGGAGATCAAGGTTTACCAGGACCACGTGGTTATCCAGGTCTTCCAGGTCCTCCAGGTCCACCACGAAATATCAGTGACTATCGTGACATCATACCACGATTTGTAGGGCCACCAAGTCTTCCAGGATATCCGGGTCAAAAAGGAGAGCAAGGGGAACGCGGTGACAAAGGGGAACAAGGTCAAAAAGGTAGTCGCTCGATATCTATTTTTACGTTTCTTTTTTTCAAGTGTTCATGCGTAGTCGTGTCAAATGTTAAACGTTAGCGTTAAATACGATTACTATCGGATTTATCCGATAAGTAATCCTTGAATAGCCGCGTAAACTAATTTAATCTTGTTAGAAAACCGTGTGGGGTCGTAGGTGTCCACGTGCGCGCGGTGATTCATCGTTAAACACATTATTCCTCTGCTAGTAAGCGCAGAATGCTTAATCTTCGGTTTCTTCAAAGAAAAAATTTTATTCAGTGATAAAAGACATTCTGTGATGAGTTAAAAATTTTTTCTTAATGAGATTTTAGATAGATTAGTTGTAAGTTTTTTTTTTTTTTTTTTTATTCCTTTTAATAGTACCTAAGTGAGGTAGCATCTAAATGAATGTTGACTTGAATATGTTGGAATGATACTTCATAATAGATTTTCTTTACACTAATTTGTGACATTTCTTACTGAAAATATCTTTATCTACTATAAACTTTTTTCTTAATAAAATTATAAGCAGTTAAATTTATAAGATTATTAATAGTAGTTGTTCTTTGATTCTTTGTGATGCTAAGCGATAAATGAATCTCATACGCTTCGAATCAGTTAATGCGTTAATTGCAACGTTACAAAAGGTCATCGACACTTTTGAAGGAATAATTCTTGCCAATGAAGTATGTCAACAGCCTCATATTTAAAGGTCGAGCGCAATCGTTCTAATGGTTTCAACTACTTAACCAACATATTTCTACTTATTCTATATTCCTCTTTTTTTCTCCTTTTTTTCAACTATGAACCTACGAAACTTGTTCAAATCCATATTTTTATAAGCAGAGTTAAAGAAAAAAATTTTGTGAATAGATTAACGTTCAAATAAATAGTAAATATTCTATTCTTTTCAAATTTCTTTCTTTTAGATTTCATAATTTGCTGTCACTATGAAATGCAATTATTAACAAAAATTAAAATTTCAGGACCCTCTGATGCATGACATAAAAATAAATTGTCATGCACATCGTTGTCGACCTAAATACAGCTATTCAAAGTGATTGTAAATCAATTTGTTGCAATCTGCCGCAATACCCGTAAATCCATTCCTTTTATTAATCATTAAATGTGTGTCGTTCTCTTGATAAAAGTGACTACATAGCAATTCTTGATATATATTTAATTGGTATTCCAACGCTTCGTTATCAAATGATTTAGCTTAAACGTTTGATGATAAATTACCAATTAATATATATATCTTGCAGTAAACTTAAACTTAAAATTAACCGCTGAAACTTAAATTAGTTCAAATCATTTAAATATCTATATTTTCCCCATCAAGTACCTTTCTAATTATATAGCAATTATTTAAAGAGTAATCTTACATAAAATACATACTTTTATCTACATAACCGGTGAAAAATATATACAGGTGAACCAGGAGAAAAAGGTAATCCAGGACAAGATGGGTCTCCTGGATCAGAAGGGAAGCCAGGGGTTGATGGTTTTCCTGGGCCTAAAGGAGAAATAGGATTTCCAGGAATACCAGGTCTTCAGGGATTACCAGGTTTTCGTGGTGAAACTGGAGCACCCGGTTTAGCCGGAATTCAGGGTCCAAAAGGAGAACCTGGGGAACCTGGTCGCGATGGTAAGTTCAATTGAAAAATAATATCTTGGAATATATCAAAATTCTTAATAGATCTAATTTATTTACTTAGGTTTACCAGGTTCAATAGTCGGATCCATTGTACCAGGACCACCTGGTCCTGAAGGCCCCCCTGGTTCACCAGGAGAAGATGGTTTACCAGGAATGAAAGGAGAACCTGGTCTTGTTGGTTCACCAGGTCTTCCTGGATTGCAAGGAAAGAATGGTCCTCCTGGTTCTCCGGGGCCTCCAGGATCGCAAGTAAATCCAGATTTAAGAATTAGAAATAATGAATTCTAAATTAATCTGATTGTTATAATTAGGGTTTACCCGGTTTACCTGGGGAAGTAGGTGCCCCAGGTCCTCGAGGAATCGAAGGTACTGTTGGAAAATCAGGACTACCAGGATTCAATGGACGACCTGGAGAAAAAGGCGATAAAGGTCAGCAAGGAGAACAAGGTCCTGTTGGACCACGTGGTTTACCTGGAAATCCCGTGAGTTTAATTTATATTATTAATCTGTTATATGAAAGAATAAATTACATTAACATTATGGACCTAGAGTTGTGGAATCCACATCCTAATGTCTTTATTTTGGACATTAGATGTAAATTAGACATAAAAATAATATTAGATTAAAGGCATAAATGTCATTAGTACCATTTAGGCGCACAATTATATTTTTATTTATCTAATGTATGCAATTAAAAAAATTCAAAGAAGTAGAAATACACTTCTTTAGGGTACATCAGGTTTACCTGGAGCCGCTGGTATTCCAGGATTAGACGGACGACCAGGTCCACCTGGTCCTCCAGGTTCTCCTGGGCCACCAGGTCCACCAGGAATGGTTTCAGACATGTTAAGTACAAATAGCGTGTTGGAAACTATCGGCAGTCCAGGCATTAGTGGACCAAGAGGTGTGCCAGGTACTCCAGGATTAGTAAGTATTTCAAATATTGCTTAATAATTTTCTTGTTTTTTTAATTCACTGGTATAACAAGCTTAGTACATATCACTAAGTTCAATGTTGACATTGTTTTGCAATTTTTAATTTTACTGTTGCATTTACTATCATCAAAAATTAGCCAGGTGAGAGAGGACCTCCCGGAGAACGAGGTCCACAAGGTCAAATAGGACTACCAGGAATGCCAGGGAAAGATGGAGCGCCGGGGCTTCAAGGTCTACCAGGTGTCAGAGGACAAACAGGAATGCCAGGAGTCCAAGGACCACCAGGCCGAAGTATCTCCGAATCAGAAATTCGAGATATATGTGCCAATGTGTTAAGAGGTGGATATCTATTACTCTGCACAGTAATGTTATTTCATCGAAAAATATAAAGCAAATGGATACTTATTAATCGAACTATTTGAAAATGTAGTTGATAACACGTTTAAGAAATATAGGAAAAGTTGGAATTGCTAGCCAGAGCAACAATATTCACGGAACACATGACGTGGCCAGTTCTTGGCACAATGATTACGTGGAAAAGTAAAAGATAATTATTTCTTTTATTACTGCGTACATACACAGAGCAGATAACTGAGATGGCAGCACAGATGCAAGGCCCACCTGGTCCACCTGGTCGAGGCCGTCCAGGTCGTCCTGGATCACCTGGTCCACAAGGTCGCCCAGGTACACCCCTGAGAAAAAGGGTTACCAACCTCTTTTGCCTGCATTCGACCCCATAACCTTAGAACATGATGGTAGAAATGATCCTGCTATGGGTTTTTGGTGTCCCTCTTCTATTTTAAAAATACAGCACTCGATCATCAAATCAGAACCATTCAAAGCTTTTTTAAATGTTCTGAAGCGAATCAATTTCTGTATATAGTTCCAATATGATAATCGAGAACTGTAATTTCTCCTCAGAAATCCATAGTAGGCGGTAAATTGTCATTGCACAAAAATATCTTTAGTTTAGCAAGTCACAATGGTTATCATCGTGATCGTTCTGTCACGAGTTGCTTGAAATTCCACCTTCATCCTTTGTTAGAGTCAACATTCATCGGCGGCGTGATTTACATACACGCATGTCCGCTCGATTAACAAACGATCGATCGGAGATTAACAAGTCACGTGGCTATGTACGTCGATAAAGACAATGGAATCCTGCATGTGTCACAGAGGGGCTGAAAGAACTAACAGAAGGTCTTCGAGGACCACCCGGATTGCCGGGACTGGCCCGGCAGGGTCGTCCCGGTCGAACCGGAACCCAGGGCATCCCAGGTACCTACTAAATCAGATCTGTCTTCCTTAGTTAAAGTGTTCAATCTAATACTTTTTCATTGATAAAACTTCAAATTACTCTTTAGTTTTAAAATGCTAGATAGAATACTTTAGCTAAAGAGGTTAGATATCCTAACATTTTTTCTTCTTGTATGACATCCTTGTAGCTTAACAATCCTACATTAAATTTGATTCACTATTCATTACTACATTATTCCTGCTGCAATTTCTAAGTTTTTATATTTTAGTCTTGTTCGTACTAAAACTGGAAGTACTAGAAATTAAAAGAAAACAGCAGGGTCAAAATTAAAGTAGTAAAGAAATAATATGGTCAGTTTGTACCGAAATTTGTAAATAGTTAGCACTATATGCTCACCAGTATTAAGCATTTCTTGATAATATATCGACTTAAAAATTAAATTAAATTAAATTAAATAAAATTAAGTTAAATTGAAATTCTGATTTAAAAAATTGCTTTTCAGGTGATCCAGGTCCTCCAGGTTTACCTGGGGAACGTGGATTTGTTGGATTACCAGGACCACAAGGTCCCATAGGTCTTCAAGGTCCATCTGGTGAACGTGGTGAAAAAGGTGACAAAGGCCAGGAAGGTGTTGGTATAGAAGGTCCAATGGGTCCACGGGGATTGCCTGGTAGTATACACAGGAACTTTTTCGACATTATTGTTTGGTTCGTTTTTCTTGACGGAGGTTATGTTAATAGGTCCACCTGGCAATGATGGCGTTGGATTGCCTGGAAGACAAGGAGAACGGGGGGAGCCAGGCAAACCAGGTAAAGAGAAAAAAGTTACAAACATGTTTTTAAACTCTTCTGCTGGTATTTTTAGTTCCGTTTATCGATAGGAATCCCTGGGATGAGAGGGCCAACTGGACCTCAGGGGTTACCTGGATTTTGCGAGCTATGCAATTATCCGAGC